CGTTACAGTATGCTCCTATTCTTTTTATGCTCAGCTACTAAGATTTCCCTTCAGTGGTAAAATTCCATATAAATATTCAATACTAAAACGGGCACGGTAAAGAATCTTTCTACGACCGACCAACGGACCACGAGTGCCACTGTTGGTCAACCAATCACATACCACGGTATTTTGCGTCAACGCGCGTCACGATGCGCGAGGCCGTGGCCAATTACCTCCGGTACGTGTCTGTACCGTGCACTTTGAATGGCTGCATCTGTATATTGTCATCTTCCATCAATTTCATTAGATTCCTCTGCACCACACAATATTTACTCAACCAGGATGCTACAACTTCCAAGACTACAGTATCATTAGTCATTGTTAAAATGTATATGGACACCAAGTTGTCTGACAGCCACAATAAAGACAAATTTCCAATACATCTTTCCATCCTTTCTCCTGAAAGAATTTCAAATACCTCCCCCCTCCCCAATCAATATCTATATTCTGAAACTCAAATATCATTCTTTCACACAACAGTGAAATTGATCAATTCACTTCTACTTTCTGCAAAACTTTCCTCATGAAAGCCAATCTACTCAGTCAGAGTTTGTAGTTATTCCACACCATCTCTAACTTGAGCTGCTATTTTTCTACCTTTTTAATAGGATCCAAAAGGAGAAAAAACAACCCCTGCCTTTTCAAAAGCCAGAAAACTATTCAATACCAAATAAACCTTTCTTAGTAGACTTTCTCCCCTAACAGGCCAAAAACCTGAAGTCAAAGAAAAGACTATTCAAATTAATCCATGCTTTGAGCATAACAACCCACAGCTGATTTTATTCTGAAATCATTAAAATCACTACAACTGAACACAGGTGGAGGCTAATTAGCTTGTTGTATACTTTGGAAGGCAATTGACTTCACAGGAGCTAATTTACAATTGTTAATACTAAGAGATGTATGCACTTAGGCAACCCATTTTTCTAGGTTTTCATTTGTAATTACTTTTCAGAATGTTTTAGCATTTGTTTTTCAATGTGTGTTACAATGATTAAAAACATTCTGATTCAAAGAGTCTTGATTTGAGGCTGTAAGACCATAAAATGTGTTACTTTGGCAATGGTATGTAGGCTTTCTATAAGCACTGTATATACAGTAGATAAAAATTAATGAAATAATGGGAAAAGGAATCAGTTTAATCGTAGCTTCGACTGAAATATTAGATTTCAACTGAAGCAATGATGAAAGTGATTTTTAGGTAACAAATAACTGATACAAATTTACATGTAATTTCCTGCTACATTGCATGCATGTTTTGTTGTTCATATATGTGTGGAATGCTTTTGTTTTCTTGTCCTTGTTTGTCTTTAAAAGTAAGGTGTCATTATAAGTAAGTTGTTTATAGTGCAAGACAAAGCCTATTGTAGAATTACTGGTTTGCAGAATGAACATGAAACAAAACCCACTGAGAAAATATGCAAACTCCACACAGATACTGTATCTGAGGTTGGAATTGTGGAGTAGAGTTTACCACCATGCTACTCTGCAACGCTTCTAAAGTTATGTCTGATATTAATAGGATGTTGTAGGTCACAACTGAATTTGGTGCTCAGCATTTTTTTTTCAAAAATGGTATTTTAACAATGGTAGAATAGTCACATAGGACCTTTCTTGACAACTCTGGAAGAGTAGACGTTGTTAATTTAACATTATTCTTAGAAAGGATTTGTCTGGCAGTCCCAGAATTGTTTAATTCAGTTCCAATTACATGCATCTGAGCAACCCTAGTCTCTTTTTGGACTTAAAGGAGAAGAAAACCTGGAAAATTATCCACTTGGTTTAGTTTATATAAAATACGTTTCTATGGGACCTTCTTCTTAATGACAGTATAAATGTTTAGATTTGACCATTGACATTTGCAATAAAAGTTGTTTTCTGAATTGTGTGGCTTAAACCTTGCTGATCTTTGCAACCTTATCTGCCTTTTCACATTAATAGAGTGTTTTATTTTAAGCCTAAATTTTACACTTTTAAGTGAGTGCTCCTATTATAGCTAAAATAACTAAAATGTTTGTCTATCATAATATAGAAGGAATACATGTAGTCTAGAAGTTTATTATACTAATTTCAAATATATGCCTGGCTATTCATTGTAGGCTATTCATCTGTTCTACTTCAGAGCTACTACCGATGTCAAATAGGTACTGTATTTCTCACTGAATGGATATTCCATGCTAAAGTCTTGTTTAAAGTGGCTCTACCAATGGGGCTACAATGGGGTTTTCTTTTTCTATACCTGCATATTTAGAAAGCAATTGTGCTGTTATTCCTCTGTCAGCAATTCAGCCCTCCTCAGATGTTTAAAATTTTGACTGTAAGTACTGTATGTTATTATGCTGAATCTGGCCATTCCCTCCTTAATTATTAATGATGCAATTTCTAGTGAAGTACACAAAGTGTCTTATGATATATTTTAGTAAAAGTTTGCCCTATGCATCTTAAGTACAGAATGCTATAGTATGTGGGGATGACAACTGTGGTATATAAAACATACTGTAGGTTGCATTTTCATTTCAGAAAGCCATGGCTGGATTCAACTCTAAATGAAATTGTATGTGTTAGTTTAATTATACTAGAGAACAATCCATGTTTGCCGCACCGGATAAGATGATGTCTTCAATGTCTCTCATTTATTCTGTGCAGGCACCATCCTCACCTTCCTCACCCACAGCTAATGAACCAAAGTATGAGAAGCGCTGGCTCGACACCTTATCTATCCCTCTGCTGATGGCTCAAGTCTCAAGATACAAAGCTGGAACCGATAAATTAAGGTCTGTAATCCAGAGGGGGGAGTGTAGAGTAATTCACTTCAAAGCCATTATTGTTTATGAAGCAGACGTTGGTTGTCTCTGGGCCTTTTCCATTAAAGATGAGAGGTTTTTAAGCCCAATATCCATGCATGGACATGCTTCTGACCTTTTAAGGTTAGTGATCTGAAGTCCATCAGAATAAGTGCAATGTTAAAAATGAATGCTTTAGAATATTCTTGACCAAGAATAATACAAAAAAAAAACAATCATACAAACTGCATTGGAGTTGATAAAAATATTTGTGCAGGGGAAATGGAATTGAATGATAAGATATTAGTCACAAATTTAGAAATTTTACATTGTGAACAAATTTGATAAAAGAAAGCATTATAATCCTAAATAAATAATTTGATTTAATCTTGTTTAAATTAGCTAAGTGAACACTTAGCATTAGCAAACTTACTGGTAGAAGAAACAATACAAAAAAGAATTGCCTTAGTGGTCTGCAAAATGTAATTTTCAACCAGGATTATGCTACTATCAGCTTAATTCCCTTGACCATTTTCACATACATTATTCTTTCATACAACCAATGTACTTTTAAGTTGATCTTTTCTTTATTAAGTGATGCACACCACAAACTACTGTAGATAGAATACATTTTGTTTTTAACTCAAATTCTTGCACATCAGAGAAAAAGTGAAGGTTTCTAAGTCACAGTGCACTTCATTAAAGTATGAAACAAAAAGTTTTGTGTACAAACAAACATTGGCAAGGAACAATCACTGGGACAGGGGAATCACAAATAGCTTTATCAAACCATAAAATGAAAAACAAACCAACATTTAATCAAATTTTTTGATTCAATTATGGTTACCCTATCTTCAGTGAACTGATGTTGTTTCATATGCTCTTATGATTGGTAGGACTATCACAATTATGTTTATGAAAAATGATAAAAGACATCTATCCCTACCTATATATTTCTATTACAGTATTTCCAGTCATTTTATGATTTTAATTAATAAACATTATTTTGCTGTAGATACTCTTTGTTATTGTTTTTTAATGTCCAATTTACCTTTGTTATTTTAACTTTGTAGTTTTTTTCATGCATTGTAGGAATATTTATTGTTAATATCATATGTTTATTTTTGCATATTTGACAATATGCAATAGTTTTGGTTTGTGAATATATCACATATTATATAATATAGGGTCAGTGTGTCAGTGTTGGAATTGGCATGGTATGTGTAAGCTGATGTGTATTAATGTCATCACCATGCAGAAAAGTCATTATTTTATAGGTACCTGTATAGATTCAATATTTTGTGTGGTTTACTTCATCTTATTTTATATATGATTAATAAATATCTTTGTTTAGTTTGTCCCTGATGCTACTACTCTATTGCCATAGTATAAAAAATACTCATGTGCCCCAAGCTATTCATAATGGAATGTCAGGAGAGCTTCATTTGCATGACCAGGTAGATTTTTATCAATGAAGGCATAAATCACTATGAATACTTATTATGGAAGTTTTAACACATTAATCATTCAATTAATGCTGTAGAAAGATAGTTTAATTAAGATTTCAGTAACTTTAAGTAATTAAGAGTTCAGTTGGATGGAAAAAAACAACAAACATATTTCAGGATCCAGACTGTATTTTCAGCCAGCTGTTTATTTATAGGTTTTACCATGTTATTTACTTTCTGCTACTTTTTTTTTCTATTAGAAATGACCTCTGTTGCCAGGAATAAGGATATTATTACCACACACTGATTAATACTGAATCTTAATAACTGTTCTTTATGGATGTGTGAAAGGAGTATGATTTCCATGCATGCAAATTAGAATTTGTGACCCTATGGGTCACTTGTAATCTATCATTAACACCATTTTGAAGTAGCAAAACCAACTGTAAAAAAAACATAGCATGCCGGAATCATTGCTAAATATCTGGAAAGAACAAAGTAATAAAGATCTTGACTGAGACAGGTTTGGAACAGCCAAAAGGGTTTAAGGGTCAGACAGCTAGATGTGGAGAAGGTCATTTATGTGGTTGAGCATGATGAAGAAGATTCTGCTTTGATAATGTTTTAGAAAATTCTATTCCTTGTTGTAAATAATTCTGTGCATTTAAATTGATGGGATTTTACCATATTACAAATCATTTATAAGTTTGTTAATTTGTCTGTAGAATTCACACTAAAAAATGTTTGATGTACAATAATATAACTGATATTAATATGGGAACATCATAGAAAAGAATCAACATAAAATATTGATTATATAAAAAATAATTGCATTCTAACAGAGTACTGTATAATTTTTATCATTTATCACTGCATTTGTTTCTGTAGTAGTTTGTTCTGCTTCCCATGATATTGCCCTCTGCCCTCTGGAAATATATGTTATCTACAGTTTGTTCAGATACAGAGATAAAATAAGTACAGAGACACACATGGATATACTGTAATCACAGGTATATTACTACTGCTGCCATTCTAAGCACTGTCTTCTGTCTGCTTTCAGTGTGGAACAGATGTACAGTAGTGATAGAGCTCACTCTTAAATCAATAACTTACTGTATATAAAATCTCCCATATTCTCCACAACAGTCCCATGAAACCAGGAATAATTTTTGTTTCTCTTCTTTGAACATGTTCTAAAGATATAATATTTTTTGTGGTTTGGTGAACAAAAATGAATATAATATTCTAGATGAAGTCTTACTAGTACACTGTAGAGCTTAAAGAAATTTCCTGGATTTAAATCCTACTCATTTACTCTATACCCCAGCATTCTGTACCCACTACAGAATGTACACAATCTTCAAAACCAGCCTCATGCATTACAGGTACAGTATATCTTATCTGTACCTTCTTGCAGCTCAGGAGCACCCATGCAATATGTATTGTGTATATTCATACTACTTGTGTGGATCACTTTGCACTTATCACTGTTGAATTTCACTAAACAATTATCAATGTATTCCATGTTTTTCTTGTAACTCCATTGCCGCTGTTTCTGGCTGCCACTCCCTCTATTTTAGTATCATCAGCACATTTGATCAGTTTACAAACTGTACCAAAATCTAGTTTTTTTATATAGATCATGAAGAGCAGCAGACCTAAAATGGATTCCTATGGTACACCACTACTCACATCTTCATATTTAGAAGTTCTACCTCTTAAGGTGTTGTTCAGTAACCAGTTCTTTATTGTTGTGCATATACAGTATTACCTTGCATTCCTGTGACTTGTTTTCTGGAAATCTGAAAGTATATCAAGCCATATGCTTTTATAGTTAGACAAGACCTTCTCTTTCTAAATCCATGCTGTCTCTTAATTGATTGGGAAAATTCCATAAGGCACCATTGATTTGTTGTAGACTGTTCTAGAACGTCTATAAGATTTATGTTAAAATTACTCAGTGCTGCAGGAGATTATTCTATATCATGGGGGGTGTTATTGATTTTTTCTATTGTAAACATTTTAATGAAATATTCATTTTGTACAGTATGTTAACTATTTTTTATTGCGTGATAAAAAATCAATTCCTATTATCTTACCAAGTATTTCCATTTTTTCATTAACTGTTTTAGTACTGGAAGAAGTGTTACACATTACTTTTTGCCTCTATTGCAATATTCTTTTCTTTCTCAACTATTGGAAATTCTGTTATCTTTTTTTAGGTTTCTAAACCTATTTTTTAGGTTGCAGAATTCCTGTAATTCTATATACTCCTTTACACAATCTGTGGAGTGTTCTCTTCTTTCCTGATTTTTCTTAATATCTCCATTAAACCATTACATCCATATTTGTTGGTCTTAAAACTTCACTGTAGTAGGATTTAATTGATTAATTGAAGAATACTGTGAATACTCATCTATCTGTTTCCAGTTCACTGCTTGTTAGCTCTTCCTCATTCCTTCATAGTTTGGAAAGTTATAAATCCTAATTAAATCCTAATTTTAGACTATGTTCTTGAACTTTTAAAAGTATACATCAAACGATACCATATTATAATCACAATTTGTGCCTCTATCATTTCAGTTCCCTTGCTGTGATTGCTAAGAAGCACTATCAGTTTCAACCATCTGAAGTTCAGCTTCTGTATTGGCCCTCACCACATAAGAATGAATGTATGGAAAGTTAAAATTACCAGAAGTATAACATCACTTTTACTTTTGCTTTCTACTACTTTCTTGATCTCATCATACAGCTACTTGTACCTGTATCTGCATTAGGTGGTACAGGTCCAGCCATACCGCATGTTATGATAATAGTATCCGGAAGCACCTTGCAAAACCACCAGCTGGAGCTAATAAAGCTTAACGTCTCATGTACAGCATTTGAGCTGTCGCCAGAAAACACCCGGTTTTGAATCCCTGTCACTGCTGAGGGACAATCTGTTTCCAAATAAGAATTTAAGTTGTATACTGTTTAGACTTTTAATAATTTTAAAGTGTGTATTACAACATGTTAATCATTAAACATTAAAAAGTCTGTATATTTTATAAAAGCATGATTGCTCAGTTGGACAAAAGTACACAACCTCTCACCTTCATTATAAATATTTTAATTATGCATAAATATTTTATGCATTAAAGTCTTTGCGAAAGATATAATTAATAGAATTAATAATGAATGACCTTGGACAGGCTGTAAGTTCAAAGTATTACCATGGTCCACTTTCTTTGTAACCATCTGCATCAGATTAACTACGTTAAGACATTTTGCCTGCTTAAACTACAGCTTAAGCTGTTAAGTGGAGTGTTGGTGTAATGGCTTAGGCATGTGCCTTGCATGCTGGAGGTTGGGGGTTTGAACCCAGCTCTTGCCATGAGTTTTCTTTTAACAAATAAACATTTCTTTGAAAAACTGAAATAGTAAATATTATCGACACTATATTGAATTTGTTGGTATTTCTAAATATCACAACACATTCAAAGTTAAGTGAGTTAAGTGATTAACCTTTTCTGTGAATACTTACACTCGTTATCGCAGTAAAAA